TATTTATGCACACAAGCATTACACTACGCACACATATATGGAAAAGTGGATTGAGCATAATTGAATAGTTCTAAATATAACAATGATTACGCACATAAACTTAATAATCATCAATTCATTAATTATTCGAATCATATGGTCTGTAAATTTTTTGGGTGGTGATTTAACCCGGTTCTCTACGGTATTTCTTCGTAGAGGTTCTATCATTTTCTTAACACTTTTTTTTCTCTTATAATCGCTTTTATGGTTAGATGGCTTAGCTTGACTCATGAGTCCTGCTTGAGCTATGACTATTGGAAACACAACTTGTCTGTTTAACCGCGTAAAAATTGATCCATAATGTTGCGGAGTTATGTTTATCAGAGCTTACATTATCTTACGCCGGCTGAATGAAACAGTTAATACGGTTAAACGATTAAGAAAATATCCAATCCCTAACGGCTATAACCTGAGTTATGGTTCCCTGATTTTGATTAATCAGATTTCAAGATCAAATGTAACGTAAACTACCGAAGGTGAAATCACTTTTATGCAAAAAAATGAAAAACAAAGGAATTATTAAAAATGCTTCTCATGGATTTTGACTATCATACAACAAGTTATTATGATACTAACTCTACTATAATGCGATTTATTATTACAAGTTTGTGTGTGATACCTAAGATTTACATGGGTCATAGTTTTAATGTTACCCGAGCAATCTATGATTAATCATTGCAGGTGCATCAGTACTATCCAGTGAAGGAAATCTGAATTTTTTTTTGTTTTTTGAGAACATAAATTTTAGAGTTAATGTTTTTATTAATAAAATTTACTATATTCAAAAAAAATATTATGTCTTCAAAATACTATTAATTATATTAAAAATTAAAAAATTTTATGTTCTCAGAATGAGAACATAATTTTTAAATATTATGTTCTCAAGAACGTTGAGAACATTAGATTTCCAACACTGACCCTGCCTATAGGCCGTTGCACACCCTAACCATACATCACAAGTTTAATATTACTTGTTTTATCAGTTTTTACGTATTGATTGTTGACATAATTGTTATGATTAGTTTTATTGAGTGATTAGCCTATAACAACAAACTTTTGACATAATTGGCTAATTTTGTATATAAATTAAAGAATAATACAAATACCTAAAACTAGCTTATATTTTACCATACTTCTTGGCTTTTTCATAGGCCTTCTTCTCTCCTTGTTCAGTTTCAAGGATGCCCATAATACTATTAATTCTCTTTTTGTATAATGTATCTTTTTCTTTAACCTTTTTAAGATTATGGTGTGCAATATATATACTATCTTTCCGTAATTCTCGTATAGCTCCTTTACGCTCTTTCTTGAATTGTGCCTTGAGTTTATTTAATGTAGCTCGTTCTTTATCTGGATCATAGTGCTTATCAATAGAAAAGCTTTAAGAAAAAATGACAAATATATTAATTTGGCTGTATCAAAAATATATCAAGATAAATGGTTTGAAGCATACTTTTCTTGAAATTTAGGAGTGTAGGTAGGAAGTGGAATAGGACGGTGATGTTGCAATTCCAGGGGTTTACGGTTTTTTTTAGAAAACTTTTGCAATCGCTCCAATGTTTCTTGTATTGAAGATATTTTCGTCTAAATAAATCAAAGTTAAAAAGTTAAATTTTTTCGAGAAACTCGAAATGAACATATTAATTCAAGTACCTTAATTATTCTGGAGAATTTATCTAGTGGATAAGCATCAATAATTTTTAATGCAGAACTAAATAGCTCTGTAAATGCAGGCGCTGAACTATACATTTTTGCAAAATTTTCGACTAAATGCAGAGTAGCTATCAATGCTGATATACTAACAATAAATAAAGGAAATAGTTTTAGAGCAATGTGATCGATCAATTATAAACGAAACAAATGTCATTAATTTCAACATTACCGAAATATATCATCATCAAAAACATCTAAACAATTGTTTTCATTTCTGTTCACCACACCCAATAATTGAGAAAAATCCAAAGGACTAGCATCATCGACACAGGCCATATTTTTTATTTGAAGAATGGGAACAAATTTTCCAGAAAATGGAAATATTCCAGGAATCGATTCCACTGAGTTAAACGTGTCTTGCGGCGCAAGATGTACAAGAGAAATAAAAAGGAAGTTGAGAACTTCAGGAATAATGCGTTTTGACAAAATTTGATACTATAAAATATGAATTATCAATTATTCATTAGTTAAATATGCATTGATACCTATGTTCAGAAATAGTAATATTATGTCTTACCTCATGCATTAAATTACATAAAAATAAGCCAGACACTAAATCTAAACCATTTGACAAAGGACATTGTGCCAGATATTGTGCAATCAATAACAAAGTTGGGGTAACTACTGGATGGCGAAAATCCGATGTTGGAAAAATTTGGGACAGTATTCTTAATAAGATGAATTCGGAAATGGTGGGAAACGTTGACTTTGAATGTTTTAAACTAGACGAGGATAATCTTTTTTTCAAGTTATTTTCCATGGTAACAACATTGGACCCAAAATAATCTGTAGCGCTTTCTGGCACTTGTTGTGCGAGGTCAAAAATATGACCAACAAGTTTATTGATAAGGAGTATAGGAATAGGATTTTCTTGCGCGCGATGTAGAACATAATCCATAAGTACCGGAAAGAATCTCTTATCGTTATAATAAGCAAATTAAGAATTCCATTGTCAATAGTTATAGAACACATAATTTCATTAAATAAATATCAAGTACAATTCTAACCTCCAATTTTACTTTGTTTTCGATTGAGAGCTTTATATGATGTAACACACGAATTCGATGCACAACTATATGAACATCCTCATCATCAACGTCCTGTAATATTTTTAAGAATTCTTCCAAGGTTGTTGGGCAAGGAAAAGTATATGCTAATTCACTTTTATTTTTAGTTTTACTAATTCCCTGCTTAATATCCAAATTTTTTGAATTCATTGACAATACGTTAGATGATAAATCAATAGCATCATGATCGCCTTCGGCAATTGGGATGGGAGCTTCGTTATCATAATCACCCGAAATTTGGTTATTATCGTCAGAAGCTTCCAAATCAAGATCTGAACAATAATCATCACTATCATCATCGTCCTCATCGTTCTCATCGTCAGACGTATCTTCGTCTTGTGTTTTTTCAATTGTCATGCCATCCTTCAAACTAATTCCTTTATCAAAATCATAAAGATTATCATCATAATCTTCGGATACATAATCATCCAAATCATCCGTCATAGAAGCTCTTTTTTGTTTTTTGCTCTTGACAGAATCATCATCAGGCTCTGGATCCAATCCTTCCATGCGCCGTTTCCGCGCCATCTATCAATTCGATAAAGATATGATTAACTATTTCAATAAAAAGCGTATGTATATATATAATTACTTCTAATTTTTCAAGTTTTTCTTTCTCCTCAAGAGCTATTTCTTCCTCCGACTTTATTCTGTCAGTAGGTCTTGTACGTTTGTCAAGTGCTAACTCTCGTACGTATCTATCATATGTGTCGTCCTTATCGGAAATCTTAGGAGTTGTCTCTGACGCAGATCCGTTTAATTTCTATACGTATTATAGAAATTAGTAATTATGAAATACATATAAAAAAAAATAAATTAAAACACAAAAATAACATTTCGAAATGCTGCTTCTTGAGTAGGTAAGGGATCGGCCCTTGGTTTTGGTAAGGAGATGAGATTTCGGATTTCATCTAAATCATTATCCAATTCATCGCGCATGCGTTCGTCTTCCTCTTTCTCAAGTTGGCGTTCGTACTAATTGATCAAAGAAGTACGTTTAATTCAACTACAGTACAATTAAAATGAAATTTGAATTGGTTATGTTAAAAACCAACCTTGTACATTTTGCTCTTTGCCATAACTTCTTTCATGACTTCCGTTTTAGACCTTTTTTTATGTTCAGATTCCTATAGAAAAGAGCAGATCAAATTTTGTTAACGTGTTTCATTCTAATAGATAAATACATGTAATATTAACAAAATTACATCATTATTTTGTTCGTCTTCAAACCCGCCAAAATGACCTTTATCGACAGTGTCATGATCAATTGTGCCTAAAGTAACATGGAGGATTCAAACAAAATTTAAATGTAAATATTTTGCATTTATCATTATCGAGTTTAAAGGAACCTCGACGGTATCGACACGACTTACCTGTATCCTCTTTATCGTCTAATGCTAAATCAGGTTCATCGAAATCATCGATTAAAGACAGGGACTGGCCGTAATGCGTCAAATCATCATCTTCAAGATTAAATATTGTTGATTTTGAATGCCTCTAACGTTAGGTGATAATTAGAAACATTAAATTTAATAATTGCATATGATTAAATAAATCAACTTGAATACCTGTTTTTTTTCTTTTACGAATCTTTCCAACATTTTTTCCTCCAATGATAGAGTTGGATCATCTTCACCAAATCGTTTATCAATTAATCCGCCTACTTTGTTCCGATTCTCCATTTCAACAAGCAGCGTTTGCTTTCGCTAAAGTAGAATAAAGTTGATTAGAACTTATAACACTTTCATAAATTTGCAAATCAATTATCATATACAAACTTTTTCTATACCCATTTGTCTTTTTAATGCCGGTCTACCTTGGGTACCTTTCACTTTTCTACCTATAACGTTATGCTTAGTTTTGGTAACCTTTATTTCGAAGGGATTGAGTTGATTCTTTAAGAATCCAAGTTTGCTTTTAGCATCATTCTTGTCATCTTTGGGTTTCCCTTTTCTTCTCTGCTTTTTACTCATATTCGAGCGAGAGCCAGGGCCAATTACCTCAGCTTCTTTTAACGTCGACTTAAGTCGTTTTAAAGCAGATCCACCAGATTTTGCTTTTGTCATAATTTTTTTTATCGTTATGAAATGAAATATTAAGATATTACATAATTATTAAAGATCTGTAATCAAAAAAAAAAAAAAAAACGTACGTACGTATAGTGCAATGATCGTCAATCTGCACGTGAACTTTTTAGATAAAGGCGCAGACAAAAATTATTACTCATCAATCCGTCGTTGGTATAAACGGTTCAAAGTATCTGAAAAAAGTGATCATATTTCTGACCAAGAATCTGGTGTGGAAAAAGAATTTGAACAGAATTTTGATAAATTTCAACAATGAAGCTTGATGCAAAGATGCTACGATATATGAATACGGAAGAATTCCGTGTTCTAACAGCTGTAGATATTTTAATTTGTAAATTTTTCTTTCAATGGAACAAAATTATTTCTAAGTCGCATAAATTAGGTCGAAATGGGGTCCAAAAATCATGAACTTGTACCTACGTCTCTTGTTGCTCAAATCGCGGGTTTACGTCATGGTGGTAGTCATAAAATACTTGGGGAATTAGCCAAAAAGAATCTTGTTTCCAGAGTTACAAATGCAAAATGCAAGTATCACAAAAATTTAAACATTTTGATTCCGCCAAATTTTCATAATTAAATATTATTTATAGATGATGGATATAGATTAACATATGGTGGCTATGATTATCTTGCCTTGAAAACTTTTGCTAAACGAGGAAGCGTTTATTCTGTGGGCAATCAAATTGGAGTTGGAAAGGAATCAGGCAAGAATAACTTTAATTTGTAAATGAATAATAATGAATCATATGAGTTACTTATTAATGCAAGTTTTATCCATATAGATGTATACATTGTTGCAGACGAAAATGAAAATCAATTTGCCTTAAAAATACACAGGTACAAATTTTTATTGACTCTATAATTATAAATTATTTTAAAATGTTCACTAATTATAAATGATTTTAAAATACTCACTAATTATAAATTATTTTAAAATGCACACTAATTATAAATTATTTATTAGACTTGGCCGAATCTCATTTCGAGCAATAAAATCGAAACGTGATTATCTTCAAAAACGGAAATCAGCATCTTGGATGTACATGTCAAGATTAGCAGCTATGAAAGAATATGCATTTATGAAGGTAAATTACGGAGACATTCTATACTATTCAGTACAAGGAAAAAATAGTATTTATTTAATTAAATTTTTTAAGGTTTTATATGAAAATAAATTTCCAGTTCCAGAGCCAATCGACAATGTCCGGCACTGTGTAGTGATGGAACTAGTTGATGCTTATCCATTGTAAGGTCTTTGTAAAATTAATCATAATTCTTAAATACACCTAACTTTAATTTATCTTGTATAGACGACAAATAACTGATGTGCGAGATCCAGGGCAACTCTATTCTGATTTGATGGATTTAATCGTTAGACTAGGCCAATACGGTCTTATTCATGGAGATTTCAATGAGTTCAATATCCTTGTGAAAGAAAATGGGGAACCTGTGTTAATTGATTTCCCACAAATGGTATCCACTTCGCATCCTGATGCAGAATGGTTAGCTTATACGAATAGTATGATTTGTAATTGCTTAACTAAAATAATTATTAACACTGGCAATTGGCTAGGTATTTTAACCGTGACGTAGAATGTATTCGCACTTTTTTTAAGAGGAGGTTCAATTATGAGAGTACGTTGTATCCAAAATTTAAGTTCGATGTAAGTCGAGAATTCAGTTTGGATGTACAAGTTGCCGCAAGTGGATTTACTAAACAATGTCAACAAGAATTAGAATCGGTATGTAATAGATATATTTAATTATTTGTACAATATAATTGTACAGTATAGTAAGTAAAATCATTCATCAATTTCTGTCTTCATTAGTATCAATTAGAATTAGGAGAATACCCAAGAAATTCTGATAGTGAACAAGAACTTGATGGGAGTACTCAAAATGAAACAGACGAATCTACCGAGACTGAAAGCAACCCTATGAAAAATACC